AATTCAGTGAAATATTAATTAGTGTTGTGATAAAACGGTTAAGAAATAAAATAAGTGCCCTTTATTTTCGCTTCATGAGGTGTATAACGCTGTAGATATACATTGGCCTGTCAAACGTTCCACATACGTTTGCCGCGCATTCCGCTTTTAATATGGGAGAGAGGATATGGAGGAGAGGTTAAAATAAAATTAATAGGATGATATGCTGAATGACAATGTTTACTCATTTTTAACTATTGAATGAAATTTATCATGTAATAGAAAACAGTCAGGGATCAAGCTTTTATTGTGCGTTACCGGAATTTTTACTATGCAGCACCGGAATTTTTCTGGTGCTAGACAATTGAACCCACTTTACCAGACGGCACGGTAATTTTTGCCTGAATTTCGCCTGAAAAATTCTGGAATTTTTTTCTCCGTGTAGACTCTGAATCATAAAATTCTGAAATTGGGATATTCAAAAAATTCATCCACCATGTTTCCTCATTTCTTCGCTTGTTGTTGCATGTTTGCAGAAGGAAATATAATAAGAAGAATGTAGTTGGCTAATAACCTAATGCAGCGACATTTGTTGAATGCGGAAACCCCTCTGTAATGCGAAACCCAAGAATACCGACTGTTTCGTATTTCAATATGCATTCGAATAATCTCCGACAATGTAGTATCATTTGCTACATAATTTGAATGACAAATAGTTCGCTCGTTTGATAAACGATGTATCAAAGTTCGAGGGATAGGAAGTCGTGGGAAGGAACATGTGAAACGCGTTCCGAGAAGAATAACAGGAGTAGTAATTACAATGTGCGTTGGGAGATCGTGATCATTTGACCGGGAGCTAATGTTCAATCGATACCAGAAACATTAATAATTGTTTAATCACCAAGGCAATTATTCCTCTGGAATATTATTCATTGCTAATTTCATGACATCATGGTGTTCGGTGGAAGGGCGGAATGAAAAAATTAATGGAGGCTAGGAGTGATTTTTGGGGGCAAGGTGCAAGGACTCCAGGAGATGAATAATCGCCGGTGGAAGCCTTGGCAGTTTTTTCTGCGATTCCTTCATCAATTGTTGCCATGTTTCCATTTTTTCTCACTTGATCAGAAAAAACTAATCGAGGATATTCTCCGGAGTTCGAGGACAATTATCCGTCACTGAGAAAAAAAAAGATTTTTTTAGAAGTACGTCTTCATTTGTGTAGACATTTTTCAAACACTAAAAAACGTCTGAATAAAATGAGAATTTGTCTAAATTTGAGACGAACAGGTGTCCAAACATCTTAATTCATGTTTGAAATTCAGGCAAATTTTCATTTTATTCAAATGTTTTTTATTGTCTGAAAAATATCTACAAAAAATGTGTGAAATTCAGATATTCGTTTTAGCTGTGTATGCACGGAAAGAATATAAAACTAAAAATTAAAGTGTGAACATAGTACACTGAGAGAAAAATTTGATAGTATGTAGACCATATTTACTTGAACGAAGTGAATTATTTTCAATGGCTTAAGTCTCAGAATGTTTGCGCTTCAAGGAACTCGAGTAAATTCTCATTTATCACTACCGTTTCGCACTACATCATGAATATATTACATACACTGTTGAAAAAATTTGGCTGAATTTTCCGGAATGAGACCCTGAATTTGATTTAAGGGGAGACCGCGGTGAAATTTAAGCCAGTACTCGACCTTAAGAGTCGTTGGACGACTTTCGGTACATGAAGCGATTTATTATGAAGTAAGAAAAAATTCGGACTTGACCCGTTTTGCCCCATACTTTTACCAAGAACGTCATTTTTCACGTTTTTTCACATAATACAGGAAATTTCAGCCAAAAGTTTTCCACAGTTTGTCGGACATTATGGATATAGAACCCATTGTCTTTTTTGGGCATCAGTTGCCTATTTTCTGAATGACAAAACTGATATAATTTTACATTTTCGAACTTTCCAATGAAAAAAACTATTATTCTCGTAATCACGGTAAAAAATACGAGAATTGAACACTATTTTGCTCAATTGAAGGATGGGGACTTCCATTCGAAGATGATTGTTTTGTATCTAGTCGGATTGTAGCAAGCCCTCTTAGGTGTAATATAAGGGTCAGGCACTAATTATCAGAATATAAGGGTCAAAAAGTGGAGGTTACAAAATGAGGGTCAGAATATTAGGGTCAAAACATTAGGGTCAGAATATAAAAGTAAAATATTGGGAGTCAGGCAATGAAAGCCTAAATATAAGTCATGTATTATGTTTGATCACTGTTTTTAGCCCTTATATGACCCTCATTGCCTGACACCCACTTTTTTTTACTTTTATATTCTGACCCTATGCGGAGAGAAATATTCAATAAAAATTACCAGAAAAAAGACGTAAAAATTACGTTTCGAAACGTAATCTGGGAGCGCAGTAAAATTCAATAAAAAGTGTCAATCGTCACGTAAATTTTACGATCTGTTCCGTAAAAATTACTCATCCGTCCGACGCCTCACGGCTAGCCATGAGTCACCGTGAGGGGGAGATTTTAACAACACATTCCGTAATTTTTCCGAAACTTTTCGTAAAAATTCTTAAACATCCAAGAATTTTCACGTTCTGAGGTAGAATAAGTCTCGAAGTTTCTGTCAGATTTTACAACTTCCAGAAAAATTACGTGACTTTTTCGTATTTTTTCGGTGACAGACCCGAAAATTTACTGAACGTTTCAGATTTACTCTTTTATATTCCTATAGAAATTCACTGGAAACGATTCTCGCTTACGGATTACGTGAAATGTTTCGTAATTTTTCTTGAATATTTCTCTCCGTGTAATTTTTTGATCCTAACATTCTGACCCTCATTCCTTCACCTTTACATCCAGGCCCTCAGTTTTTGACTCTAATATTCCGACGCTCATTTTTCAACCTCCACTTTTAGACCCTTATATTCTCACACTTAGTGTCTGACCCTTATATTACACTTGAGAGCGCTTGGTACAACCCGGGCTGATACGAAATAATCCTCCTCAAATTGAAACACCCACCCCCCATTTCCACGACTGAAAAGGCAGTAATTAGTGATTTTTATTTTTCAATTGAAGAAAATTTTTTCTCTCTGTATTCGGCTATCTCGAGGAGCTGAATAATTGCGCAGGAAATATTACCGGGAGTGAATCCTGTCGATTGCACGCTCTATAAACTCAGCAGGAGCTGTGAGGAACGCTCCTTCCGACCAGTGAATGAACACCGCTCAATGTCATTGCGCAACGAACCACAACCTATCAGCATAATAATTGGAAACTAACTTTTTCCATTCAGAAGAAAAAAAGTTGACAAATTTTTTTTCGAGACCGAATGAATTCAGCAGCGAAGTGGTAAAAGGAGATAAGTCAATTTTGACTATTGACCAGTTTTTAATCAATATCTCGGAATCTAAGGAAGATAGAAAAATTTTTGTTACAACCTTTTTTGTGGAGCCGATTGAGTGCTACAACAAATGTTATTACGAAAATTTCGCTATCTCCCTTAGATTCGGAAATATTCCTCAAAAACTCAACTGGGAGATAAGTGGACTCATCTCCGATTACCCCTTCACTACTGAATTTAAAAATTATTCCATTTCTGTGGAAAATGTCACGTTGCAGACCCAAAAATACAAAAATCTGAATTTCACATCAACGAGACGTTTAACTGTGCATAATTATGCGCGAAGGTCGATTTTTTGTATCGCCACTGGAGTGCAAGAAACACGCTAGAACGGAAAGTCTGGCCTGGGCCGAGGCAAACATCTCTCGCTCAATGATTTTCGGTCCTGAATGCCATTACCCAATACTTGGAAACTTTCTAAAGTATCCGGTAAACCGTGTAATAATAAGAGACTCAAACCTTGGAACTTATCCAAGGAAAACGAACTCTCATTGGGATTCAAATTCGAGTGTTTGGATTTCACAGGATTGAAGAGGATCAATAGAGGGAAAGAGGATGAAAGGTCATTGAACGAATACCGACAACTTGTAAACATGACACATCATTCCTATAAAATCGATTAAGACTCGAAATATCATCTGCTTCGTAAAGTCAAACTGAAGCATCAATTTTTCACGGTGAAAAGAAAAATTCATGTAAAATTCAAGAGAGTGAAGGAACTATTTTGTTTTTAATCGATTTAATAATTAGACCGCTGTAATTCTATTTCCAATTTTCATTTTCTGATTATAAGAACGAAATGTTAAGAGAAAAGGGTATTTTCTGCATAACATTATTCAACAGATTCTGATTCATTATTCAATTTTAAACCGTTCTGAATCCTCTACTGATACACTGGGGTAATTTATCACCCCACCCTACTACTGCTACATTCACTTTACATTAGAAGTACAACAGTGAAGTGTAACCTATTGATGATATCCTCTCCTGAACAGATTTAAACCTGTTGAACTGAAATTTGTAGGGTTCAACAAAAAATTTCAAAATACCCCTTTAAAATTCATTAGTGAAGTGGTAAAACGATTTAAGTGGATTTTGACTATTCGTCAGTTTTTACTAAATATCTCAGATTCTGAGGCAGATAGGAAAATTTTTATTACAATCTTTTCTGTAGACTGCATTAAAAGCTACAAAAAAGATATTTACAAAAATTTTGCTATCTCCCTTAGATTTGGAGATATTTCTTGAAAACTTAACTGAGAGCTAAGTCGATTTGAATCGTTTTACCACTTCGCTACTGAATGGATCAGAGATATTCAAAAAAACTAGAAACTCATCCATTATTTGACGAACATAAACAAAAAAAATTCAAATTTTCCCACTAGAAATGAAATTAAACCAACAGAAGACAAAAAGAAGTGAAAAAAAATGATTCAATTCAGATGACAAATCCATTAAGATCTACAAAAATATAATGCATGTAGATACTCATCGGTAACCTCTAAAAATAAACGTTCATAAATTATTTAATGACCTCATTAACCACGAATAAAAATGTGGCCATGAAAACGTAATAAATACTCCAGCAATTGCGCTTACCTTTCCGATTTAATGAAGCGTAATCAGCTCGAAAAGTGCCCATGATGGCACCGATACAGTCCCGCAATATAATTGAAACAAAAACTGATTGGAGCACAGCCAAGAATAAAGAGATCGAGAACTGAAGAGCGAGGAAGTGTAAAGTGTTTTATCTCTTTGATGCACTTTTTCAAACGCTTCAAACGTACGTCTCTACGTCTCTGCACAATATCGTTTTCCAGGGGCTCCAGTGAGGCGAGCAGTATAAGGCGTGCAGTATAAGGCACTCAGATTTCTCAAACTAGAATCGGATCAACAGCAACTGATGCGAACAACAGTAACTCTTTTCACTGGTACACTCAACTTGGCAGTGAAACGGAATGAAAGGAAGAACAGCAGTTGTATTGTATCACGTTAAAATTCGAAGTCAATTGAACCGTTCAGCCGAGGCGAAACGGTAACGAGGTATTGCGATGAGAATGGGCGGGCTTTTATAACCCCCTCTGATGGATAATATTGACAGTGTCTGGGGTATGTTATTTACTGGGCGAATGAACGATTCGCTCACGTTTTGTTTACCATGAAATATCGATTGACGGGTGATGGAATATAGAGGTGGATAAATACAGGGGGTACACAACTTTCTGATAATTGCAATTGATGTTCTCCCGGGGCGCAGGGGGTGGGCACTGATGGCTTTCGGCTGGGTGGTGGAGGGCCAATGGTGTGTGATTGTTAAAGTGGTATAAATAGAACTAGAATTTTGGAGACTAAAATCTGAAATATATTGCAAATGGATGTTGATATAAATGGAAATATTCTCGTTAAGGATATCCATACGGAGAGAAATGTTCAGTGAAAATTACGGAACTCACAGTTCGCTCACCGATTACGGAATCGACTCGCAAAATTTAAGGATGTTCGACACCCTTTTAGCCAAAATTGACGTTGTTTTCATTTTTCTGGCAAATTATCGATGGGAGTGACGTGAAAAAATATAACGATTTTGTGGTTTGTCATTCTTTAATGGCTCACGGAGTTGCGTAGTGGTGCAATAATTTTCATGCGTTTTTTCAACAGTTTTGTGATTCTTTTTAAAAGTTTAGAGAAAACGCAGGAAAATGTTCGCACCACCTTAAAATTTCGTCAGTCATTAAATAATGACAAAACGCAAAAACGTTATATTTTTTCACGTCAATTCCATCATAAGTTTGCCAGAAAAATTGAAAAAACGTGAATTTTGGCAGAAAGGGTGTAGAACATCCTTTTCACGGAGATTCAGGTAAAAATTACGGAACGCTCTGGAAAAATTTACGGAATGTCAGTTCCGTAAAATTTCCTACAACCACATGTCGCTCCGGAATTACGGGAAAGATACGTAATTTTTATTCATTATTTTTCCCAATCGAATTTCGACCAATCAGAGCGCAGTATTTGAGGCTACCCGATAGTTTTATTTTGGATATTTCCTGCTAGCTTTTGAAAATTTCGCAGTAGTTCTTCATTTTTTTTACCTGAATATTTCACAGTAGCTCTTCATTTTTTCGGCTCATTTCAGATAGAAACTTATATTTGACAGTCTATGGGAATAGGGGTATTCTATTAACATATTTTGTTCAAATCTTCCCCAATTCACCTCCTGATGTTGTCCACTGCACTCTGCTTGGCCAAAATCTGATTGGGAAAAATAATTCGACAAATACCCCTCGAAATTCAAAATTAATCGGGTAGTTCCCTCAAGCTCCCCTGTAAACAAACCATCGTGCCAAGTTTTGCAGAAAAATCCCTCGCGCAAACGCTCGGGATTTTTTAACCTGCAAAACTTAATATCCTCATTTGCTTGCAAGGAAGCTATGGGGAAATACCCGATAATTTTGAAGCTCTTGGGGTATTACTACTGATTATTTTTCTCACTCGGATTCCAGCCAATCAGAGCGCAGTATTTGAGGCTACCCGATAGTTTTATTTTGGATATTTCCTGCTAGCTTTTGAAAATTTCGCAGTAGTTCTTCATTTTTTTTACCTGAATATTTCACAGTAGCTCTTCATTTTTTCGGATTTTCGGATTTCGGATTTTCATTTCAGATAGAAACTTATATTTGACAGTCTATGGGAATAGGGTTATTCTATTAACATATTTTGTTCAAATCTTCCCCAATTCACCTCCTGATGTTGTCCACTGCACTCTGCTTGGCCAAAATCTGATTGGGAAAAATAATTCGACAAATACCCCTCGAAATTCCAAATTAATCGGGTAGTTCCCTCAAGCTCCCCTGTAAACAAACCATCGTGCCAAGTTTTGCAGAAAAATCCCTCGCGCAAACGCTCGGGATTTTTTAACCTGCAAAACTTAATATCCTCATTTGCTTGCAAGGAAGCTATGGGGAAATACCCGATAATTTTGAAGCTCTTGGGGTATTACTACTGATTATTTTTCTCACTCGGATTCCAGCCAATCAGAGCGCAGTATTTGAGGCTACCCGATAGTTTTATTTTGGATATTTCCTGCTAGCTTTTGAAAATTTCGCAGTAGTTCTTCATTTTTTTTACCTGAATATTTCACAGTAGCTCTTCATTTTTTCGGATTTTCGGATTTCGGATTTTCATTTCAGATAGAAACTTATATTTGACAGTCTATGGGAATAGGGTTATTCTATTAACATATTTTGTTCAAATCTTCCCCAATTCACCTCCTGATGTTGTCCACTGCACTCTGCTTGGCCAAAATCTGATTGGGAAAAATAATTCGACAAATACCCCTCGAAATTCCAAATTAATCGGGTAGTTCCCTCAAGCTCCCCTGTAAACAAACCATCGTGCCAAGTTTTGCAGAAAAATCCCTCGCGCAAACGCTCGGGATTTTTTAACCTGCAAAACTTAATATCCTCATTTGCTTGCAAGGAAGCTATGGGGAAATACCCGATAATTTTGAAGCTCTTGGGGTATTACTACTGATTATTTTTCTCACTCGGATTTCGGCCAATCAGAGTGCAGTATTTGAGGCTGTCAAACAGTTTTATTTCGGAAATTTCTAAAAAATTTCCGACGGAAATTCACTAGTAGTTTTTCAAATGTTTCTCATCTTTCGACGCATTTCACGTTTAATATTCTGTGTGACAGATAAACAAAAAAGTGGGTTGTAAATGTATGGCTGTGTAAATGTATGCCGATGCTGTTCGCTGCACTCTGCCTGGCCCAAATCCCAGTGGAAAAATAATCCGTCAAATACCACTGTGGTATAGCACTAGTGGTATAACTACTGAAAATTTCGCGGAAACGGTGGCCGTCTGTTACACATTAAGAGGTCTCCTCAGTAATTTTCACCGCGAAACGACAATGTGCTAGCAAACTGAATATGTCGTGTCATAATCAAGAATGATAAAAGGAAAATTGTAAAGAAACTGTAAGTAGTTTTATCGCTTCGTTGGTTTTTAATTAATCATTCAAATTTCGGCTTATACATGGGCTTTATGAACGCTATTTTGTATTAAATAGAATTGGAATTTTCAGGTGCACATGACAGAATATTATGAAATATTTTCAATATTCAAGCAACAATTTTCCTGAATTCTTAATTCACTGAAAATTCGGTTGGATGTGATGTTCAATTTCCGCAATGAGTTTGAGAATTCTAGATGTCATTGAAATATAAATGATAATCTAGCATGGAAAACTCAATTATTCTGAATTTTCAAGCTGAATGAGAGATCCCATGAACGATTTGATCTAAAATTCAATTTAAATTCTCAATATTGAGAATTAAAATGCAGTTAATGCGGAATTTTCACCAAACTCCGAACAGTGCAGTGTGAAATAGCTTTGAAAATCGAGTCGCTGCACGATTACTTGACTTCTTCTGTCATTTTTCCACAATTTTTTCACCGTCTAATGGCTTTCAAAATTGGAAAAAAATAATACCTTTCACTAAACATGTTTCTGCGGGTATAATTCATATTTCTCGTCCTGATTTTCCTATCGAGAAACATCTCTTCCATTTTCTTCGCGAGGAATCCATCTGATCACTTCCGAAATTGGTAAAAAATCGAAATGTTGTCAGGAATTCCGAACGCACTCCATTAATCTCAAGAATTTAATAAAAAATTACTCACTCTCCACGATATAATCCATGCTGAATATCAACCTCTCGACCGCGACTGTTCAACCGTCACCGACAAGCATGAACTAAACCTTGATAAAGACCGAAAATCGAATGTATGAAGAATGTCGTCGATGACTGAAAGACAACAAAAATGCTGATGGCAGTGATCGGTGCTTGTACTTATACGTGCATTCCCCGCTTCTTGGCCTCCGGTGGGGTCATAAAATCATAAGAGGAGCCAGTGCACGATGGATGGGATGTCTCTGTTGTCTTTTCCTCCCCACTTATTTTTTCATAGGCTCGGAGTGACGGTCTCGTTCAGTTCATGTGCAACACTGCTAATTTTATTGCCACTGGTAGGACTTCTCGACGTGTCACGGTTCGTCGGATGAACGTTATACATTTGTGAAAATGTGAGGTTTGTGAATGAGCGATGAGCGGCTTCTGTCGATGAGAATGAGTGAATCATTTTTGAATGGAGGGCAATGAATAATAATAGTTGGATTGAAGTGAAGCGAATGGAGTGACGAAATAATCGCGTCTAAAAGATTGGAAAAAGTTATGGATAATAAGTCATTGAAATTACATTTTGCAAATGATTATTTCTTTTCAATGGTTTTTTGTAAATAAATCATGAGAATTGACGAAAATTTGAGGAAGCGCAATTTTTTTTATAGAATCAATTCATATGAAATTTACTGGGGGCTACGCCCCCTGCTCGCTCCGCTCGCGAACCCTCATGTGACCCACGTATAGCCCCACATGACGCTTAATCTGACCCTTGTGACCTCTAATCTGACCCTCGCGAGCGTTATTCTGACTTTCATTATAACCCTTGTGACCCTAATCTGATCCTCATGAACGTTATTTTGACTCCCATTATAATCCTCGTGACCCTTATTTTGGCCTTTGTGGCCCTTATTCTGGCCCTCATCATAACACTCGTGACCCTGATTTTGACCCTGGTGACTGTTATTCTGACTCTCATTGAAACCGTTGTGGACCTCAATCTCATTACAACTCTTCAGATTCTTATTTTGACCCTTGTGACCCTTGGGACTCTCATTATAACCGTCGTGACCCGTATTCTGACCCTCACTATAGCCCCTTGTGACCCTTACTCTGACTCTCATTATAATTCTCGTGACTCTTACACTGACCCTCATTATAACCCTCCTGACCCTTATTCTGACCCTCGTGATCTTTATTTTGACCCTAGTGACACTTATTCTGACTCTCATTATAATTCTCGTGACTTTTACACTGACCTTCATTATAACCCTCTTGACCCTTATTCTGACCCTCGTGATCTTTATTTTGACCCTTGCGACCCTTATTTTGACTCATTATAACCCTCGT